CTTCATGGCACTTAATGACAACAGCATTAAATGTTAGGACTTGGACCAAATTTCAGTCTTAGTCCAGAACTCTTTCCCTAGTGCCATGTGGAATTTGCCTTTAGTAAATCATTGATGTCGTTTCTACCTTACACTGACCTTGTTATTCTTGAAGGGATCTTTTTCTGTTTGGTTTGCTTTGACCTCAAATTTCTCAAGATCAAAAGACAAATGTGCTTGATGAATTCTTCCTTCCTAATTTAAAAAAAAAATTTATCTGATTTCTCTTGTCATCTGGCTTTGCTGGACAATGAGGTATTAAGAAATTTTCTTAAGTGGAAGTATCATAAAGTTGTTTTAATGGGTGATTTGGGTGTTTCTCATGGATTTTGTTTCAGTTTAAAAGACCCAAATTGGGAAGTAGAGTTGAAAAAATTGTTGAACTACATCCCAGAGGGGAGCTCAGCCATGCCTCTTATCTGTAGTGCTAAGAGAATATTGCTTAGTACTTATTGCCCATGACTACAGAGAGCTTTGCTTCTTGCAGAGTTGTAGCTTGCTTACCAGGGAATAGAGACAATTGTTTTGATACAGGATTATATGTTGTAAAAGAGCCATCCTGAAGAAATTGTTAAAGTGTTATGGACTGTTCCCTGGGAAAGGAGTTGTTTGTAGAGATTTCTCTAGGTAGTAATGTTTGTTGCTGTTGTTGAGTGCCATTGAGTTGGTTCCGACTCATAGTGACCCTACATAGGATTTCCAAGGGATGACTGGTGATCTTGAATTGTCAACTTTGCAGTTCAAACTGACTTTGCAATCCAGCACCTTAACCCACTATTTGTTACTCCCACTTGACAAAATGGCTATACTCTGAGATAGGCCTAAGTAAAAACATGCATGCTTTTGTAGTAGCTAAGGAGAGACACCTTCCCCTTTTGCCCCATGCAAATTTGGGGCAAAAGGTGAATTTGATGGGGAGGATTGCAAATGGTGGGTGGTGATGTGGAGGAAACTATGGTCAACCTGGTGGCTTTTCATAGGCAAGTAGGTCTAGAAGCCCAACTCACTGAGCATGCCCTGCCCCCGGCCTTTTTGATGTGCCTGTGTGTGGTGTTAACAGAGATGCATCCTCTTCAGGAGCAGGATAACCAGTGTGCTTTTGATGACCTTTACGGAAGATTTGTAGCCGTAGTTAGCTTGGTAAGGCAGGAGGTGTGACAGAATCTCTTTGAGACCTCCTCTTTCTAATAAGAGAAGGTCTATTTTTCATCTGACTCATCTCTAATAGTCTCTTTGGCAAGTGGAATTAATATTCTCACATTAAATGAAAACACTGAATTTTAAATTGTTTTCCTGGGGCTTGATGATAGTTTGATACTGTTTGCAAAAGAGAGAAAATATGAAGAAATGAATGATGTATTATCCTTCCTAGTTTTGCAGTTAGATTTTTTTTTTTTTTCCTTGTAGCTATATGCTCATCCATTCTGTTTGATACTTTCTCCTGTGTGTTGGCTTCTGCCTGTTACATTGACCACTCTCTGGTGTGTCTAGGGAGTGGTTGGCATTTTTACTTTTGCCTTTGTTCGGATGATTTATATGATGGTTATGATGCTTGTTTGAGGCTCATTACCCTGTATAGGGTTTCTGAGGCTGTAAATCTGTACAGGAGCTGACAGCATCATCTTTCTGCTGTGGAGCTGGTTGTATATTTGAACTACTGGCCATGCTGTTGGCAGCCCAGCTCATAATCTACTATGTTTTCAGGGCTCCTTGGATGCTTTGTATGTTGTTGTTAAGGGCCGTCGAGTTGGTCCTGACCCATAGCGACCCTGCATAGGGCTTCCAAGGAGCAGTTGATAAGTTTGAACCGCTGACCTTTCAGTTCAAACCAGCCTTGTGGTTGACTGCTTGTTCTACAGTGCCACCAAATTTGAGGGCAAGTTTAAAAAACAGTCAACATTATTTTTTAAGTTTTTATTGTGAATTGAGTGGTAGTTTACATGGGAGAACATCAGCTTTACACTTATCCTATCATATTTCGTTTCATAGCAATGGTTACAGTCCCCTCCATACATCATCATTCAACAGTATTTGCTTCTATTTCCTCTGTTTTTGTGGGCTTTTGGGGGGGGATATACACCAAAACTCTCAGGAATATACCATCATTCAAATACCCAAAGGGCATAACCTACAAGCCTGCCCCACGACCACCCGCACATAGTCCCTCTCCCTCCACGAGTCTAGAGTCCCCAGCCACTCCATCTCTCCACGTCATCATCTCTGCCTCCATCTCTGGTGTTGCTGCTTCTCTGAATAGGGTCCCACACTCTGCTCCCACTCTTCTCCTTTGGTCCCAGAATCCTCTGCTCCTGGGCTGCAAGATCAACCAGTCCTACCTTTTTGCTACAAAACCTCTATCTTTACAGTTGCAACAATTGCAATCAATCATGATAACAATTACTGTTGAACCATAAGAGTCTGATCCCCATCCCCTTTCACCAGCTCCATCTAGACAGGATGAAAACCTCTCAGTGGAGATTCTACCATCCCCTGCACCCTCTGAAACGAAACTCCCATTTGAAAACTTGTAAGCCAGTCTCTTCGTGCCTTTATAGCCCCTTCCCACCTCCCATTTTAGGTAGCCAGTGTCTAAGTTGCCCATCCCTATCAACCCTGAGTACAGAGGGATGGGAATGATCCTTGCTGTGTAGATTCCTTCCCCCTTGGTTGGTATTTTAAGTTACTACATCCATAAATATAAGTCAAGTTCATCAAATTACACTTGTTTTCTTTATTATAATAAACAATCCCCCCCCCCCCAATTTTTTTTTTCTTCCTCTAGTTGAGTTCTGATCATCTGGCCATTGTAGTAGGTCAAATGGGTACTGTCTACAAGTATGGACATTCTTGTGCATCTCCCCTCACTTCATATCAGCTGGACCCTTCATGCTCTGCTCTAGCCCTCTGTGGTTATGTCCTTGTCCATGGGCTCAGGAGTCCCCAGGTCTTACCATACTGTTGGCCAACCAGCCGTCATTCTTCATTTTTAACTGCTGCCGTTGTTAATACTTATTGCCCATGACTACAGAGAGCTTTGCTTCTTGGCCAGTTGATTATGAATTTACCATCTTTATTTAATGTCTGAGAGTCTTCTATGCATTGGGGTCCATTATTTACATCTTTCTGGCATGCAGTACTCCAGAGGAGAACAGTATTAATGATGGTTTTCTTTTAGGTCAGTAAGGACAGGGAGTATTGGTGATAGCTAAGAGACTTAGCAAAGCCAACAGCATTGTACAGAGATTGAATGTTCAGTCTTGCTAGCTCAAGATATAGGTCATTGCTCCATCTGCCAATCATGAATGCTAGTATGGCTGTTAGAGTTGGCCTCTTGAATATCTGTTGTCTTTTTTGAAGTCTATTTCAATTCACTTCTAAGTCAGAGTCTTGACGGTTCTGGGCATTTTTGGCCCCATTGACTTTTCTCAACTTTGTAATGAGTAATTACCTAAATGGCTGCTGCTTCTATTGCATAAGTCTCTTGATAGCAGGAATATGGTCTTGCTCATCTCAGTTTCTCATATGAATAAACTGTAACAGTTGCTCAATAAATGTTACTGAATTGGACTGAACAAAGCTGACTGCACTGTGGTGAGCACATTTATAGATTGTGTACTCTGCCATGAGAGAGAAGAACACCCTGGGAGAAATGGAGCATCATCATCAAAAATACTATGTAAAAACACACCAACCTAAGGTTGTGTGTTTTTTTGTTTGTTTTTTTTTTAAACTATTTTATTGAGAGACAATTCTTATAACCATATAATTAATCCATTTTAAAGTATATAATTCAGTGATTTTCTTGTTAGTCACAGAGTCGTGAAACCATAACCACAGTCAATTTTAGGACATTTTCATCATTTTAGGGAGAAACCCCACATCCAATTTCCCCAAATACCCCAGCCCTCGGCAATCCATGAATTTACTTTTTGTCTCTATGGACTTGCCAATTATGTACATTCCATCTAAATGGAATCTTTTGTGACTGACTTTTTTCACTTAGCATAATACTTTCAGGGATCGTCCATGTTGTTGCATGTGCTAAGCTAAGAGCTTGATGGAAGCTGGGGGAAGTGATACTTGTTTCCTGGACAGTAGTGTAACTCAGGCCAGTAGTGAGTCTGTCTGTGCTCAGTAAGGATGACCAGATCTATTTAGTGGAAATTTCCTTAGAGCTGTTCTGAATTTGCTCCCTTGAGTGATTATGAGGATTAAAGAAGGTGGAGCCCTGGTGTGGCGTAGTAGGATAAGCACTGGTTCTCAAGGTTGGTTTGAACTGTAAGGTCGATGGTTCAAACTCACCAGCCAGCCGCTCCTCAGAAACCCTATACAGGGTCGCTATGAGTTGAAATCGACTCTATGGCACACAACAACACTATATTGTAGGGAAGTGCAGTGGCTCCATATGATAAGCACTGGACTTAGAACCACAGGGTTCATAGTTCAAGGCTGCCAACCGCTTCATGAAAGAAAGATGAGGCTTTCTGCTCCTGCAAAAATTTAAAGCCTCATAAACCCTATGTAGGGTCACTGAGTTGGAACTGACTCAACAGCACTTAACAACAAAGTATTGAGAAGAACCACTCCACTACAGTATCAAAAGGTGGCACAGTTATAAAGTGCTTGATTGCCACTTGAAAGGTTGGTTGTTTGAGCCCACCAGCCAGTCAGCAGGAAAGATGTGGCAACCTGCTTCTATAAAGATTACAGCCTCAGAAACCCTATGGGGTCGCCCTGTTCCATCTCACTGTAGATTGCTGTCTATTTGACAGCAACACGTACCACAGTATCTGGCATGGAAGGTCTCAGTGGCTTTTACTTCCCCTTTTTTCTCCTATGTCCCACTTGGAATTTTTAGGTTTTAGTGAAACTTTGCCAAAATGAAACAGTAGATATGTTTTTAATTAGTACTTTGAGTTTAATGTACTGATTCCTTTCCTCTTGATTTTTTTCTCCCCAAGGCTATGCCTTTCTGCTGTTTCAGGAGGAAAGTTCAGTACAAGCTTTGATAGATGCCTGCCTAGAAGAAGATGGAAAACTGTACCTGTGTGTGTCAAGCCCCACCATTAAGGATAAACCGGTAAGGAACATGCAGACAGCTGTTGCTTTTCCAGAGCACATATGCCATTGGAATAGCTGGTCTCCTCCTCCTCCTCCGTGTAGTAGGAATGCTGGTAACCAGGATCCTCTTACCCAGGGTGACCTCGATGTGCAGTAGAGCTGGGCTGTCCTTGGTGTTGGGAAGCTAATAACAAAGTACTCAGTATTTCATTTTGTGCCTTTTAGGACTTCATGTAAACAAATATGCCCTTGTCTTTTACTTTACAGCCCTTTTTAAGTTAATTCTTATTCAGAAAGTCTGAATTGAAGTAAATAATGCTCTTAGCAGTTTTGGCAACTGGTTTCTGTCATTATTTCAGATCAAGGACAGGGTAATTTATTTTTAAACAGATCATAATCGTCAATGTTTATGTGCTTTTGAATGCACACTGTGCTGGGTGCCTTCTGTAGCGAACTAAATAGAACCTTCTAGGCCAAGAGCTTGTACTCCAAAATGAAGGAGTCAACAGGACAGGAGAAGGGCAGGGGAGAGAACATGGAGTTGAAGCCATCAACACATGTACAGTCATACAGAGTTGTGGCTTCTGAGCTGAAGCATGTGAGCGAGTAAGTCACTGGGTCAGGGAAGAGCTGTGCCCTTGTTGCTGGCAAAGGAGGTGTCAGTGGATCAGGACCAAGATTATGTATGGATGAGAAAAGCCTGGTTACTGGGGCAGCAGTAGGAAACCGTGGGAAGCAGAGGAGATGGGTTTGTATGTCAAGGCTTGACCAGGAATGGAAAATAAAGTAAAAGTAGTGATTTGCAGTAGGCAAGGGACCAAGACCATATGCCATGAGGCTATCAGTATCCCTTTAAACTTGTGGGTAAATCTCTGTAGGATAGAGGTGTGGGGCTTGCGACACAGCTAGGTTTTTTTCTCAAAAATGTACATTGGGAAAAAATTTGGGTCTGGTGTTGGAGGAGAATATTGAAAGTGCCATGGGCTGCCAAAAGAACCAATAGATCTGTTTTGGAAGAAGTGCAGCCAGAGTGCTCCTTGGAGGCCATGATGGCCAAACTTCATCTCTCATACTTCGGACATATTGTCAGGAGGGAGCAGTCTCTGGAGAAGGATATCATGTTTGGTAAGGTGGAGGGTCAGAGAAAAAGAGATGGATTGGCCAAGTGGCACCATCGATGGATTCAAGCGTGGCAACAGTAGTGAGGTTGGCCAGCATCAGGCATTGTTTCGTTCTGCTGTGCGTAAGGTCGCTATGGGTCGGTACCGACTCGATGACACCTAACAACAACAACATAGAAATTCCCAGTTTGAGTCTTGACTCTAGCATATACATATCTAGTTGGCTCTAAATAAGTCACCAAGTTCTGGCTGAATCTTAGTTTCCTCATTTGTAAAGTGGGAAGAATAACAATTTTTCTCAGGACTGGTGAAAAGCACAGATGAGAGAAAAATCAATGTGAAAGCCTTTGGAAAAGGTCAGGCACGTGTGCAAATGTAACTGGCTGTTGTTGCAAGTCCTAAATCTAAATCCTTCTGTAGAAGTCAGGGGAGCAAGGTTAGAGGTCAGCTACATGATCACATTCCTTGGGAAGCATGGTGACTTTAGAAGAATATTTGCAATTGTTTGCAAAACAAGCACACTGGGACTTGGTCACCTCTGTGGAAGAGAGCAGTAGAGGAGTTACTAACGAGTGAGAATAATGAGTTCTAGTGAAGTAGCTGTTTAAGGAAGAAGAAGCAAGAACTTTAGCAACAGTGAAAGTGTCCCTATCATTTTCAAATTCTGGGACCACTGGATTTTGATAACAATAGTAATGATGTTGGATTAGATAGGGAATCAGTAGGCAGAGTGGGGAACCTTTGTTAACTCTATCTGTATCTAAACAGTGTGAAGAGGCTTTGAGTGATGACAGAGATATGGGGACTGGATAGGGTGGGCTTGTTTGTGATGTGTGTTTCATCTGAGTAAATAATTAGAAAGCAAAAATAAATCCTCCAAGGATTTTTGAAGTAATCTGAGAGTCACCATTACACCCAATTTAGCAGGGTTAGATATCTGCCAGGAAAATGATCCGTGACCTCCAGAGAGCCTCTACCATTGGCTTATCAGTAAGAAAGGGAATGAGTTAGGAAGGGCTAAGGGGGCATCAGTTATGTACTGTAAGGGAGCATTAGATAGAGGTTCTTATCAGCAGAGGGTAAAGGTACATATTCAGAGTTGGTTTTGAAGCAGTTGAATTGAAGGTAGGAGACTGGAGATGAGCAGATAAGATTCGTTCACCTTGAAAGGGTCATGTCACTGGCTCTGAGGGAGAAGGAAGGTAATATGCCTTGTCAGGTCAAGTCCTTGCCTGGACTGAACATTTCTTGAGGGGAGTGAGTAGTGGTGGAGGCTGATGGGGGTGTTGAATATTTTTACTCTAAACAAATGTGTTACCCTTGGCTTGAAGGACTCTTGAAAATAATTAGTTTAATTATCTATTTTGGAAATGTTTATAGAGAAACTAACTTTCCTTGTTTGTGTTTCTGCAAATTTCTGCCTTGTTGCAGTTTCCATTCTCTGAACTCAAGTGAAACAGTTTTATTGGAGCTTGGTGAATTCTAAATGGTAGTTAGCTGATCATGCGTTTCTTTGACCCAGGCATACTCAGAATTTCCAGCATAACCAGTTTGTATAAAACTTAGGACAGGAAGCATGAAAGTCCCCAAACACCTGTAATTCTAATGAACTGGACCTCATTTGGGGTTCTCTTTTAACTCCACTTTTGAAACCTTTTTGTCTTTTAACACCATACCTAGTGCTCCCAGCCTCCTTTGGACATACTTCCCTTCCCAGGTTTCAGTACATTCCAACTCATGGCAGATGCTCCCACAAAAAGTGAGGGCTGGGTTACCCTATGGGAGGAGTAAAGGAGGACCTTGGCAAATCAGTCTTTGGAGATCATTCACCAAACCCTCTGGGCTATGACTCTTACTCATTCCTCCTTTTTGGCTTGGCCACCTTAAATTCCCTACCTTCAAGATCCCTGTTCCCTCATTCTGTTGTTTATTTCGCTATGTCCCTTCCTGAATTTTTCCTTATAATTACAACATCTTCCAAAATGACCTTACAGATTTCTACCTATGTCCTTCTCCTTTCTTCTTTTCTCCAAAATCAGCCCCCCCTCATACCTTTTATGTGGGTTAGATTAATCAGATTGTTTTCCTAACACAAAGACTGATAGGGCGGTCCCCTCTCACGTATTCTTTCTAGGATCATGTTTGCTTTATAAATGAAATGAATCCATAATTAGTAGGTTTGTGGTAGTGTTAGGGAGATATTTATGGTGGAGGATTACCCTTCATTAAGTCACTCCACTCAGACTACTCTAAATATAGGTCTGATCCTGAAAGATGGGGGAAGGAATTGTATTGATGGCCTAATTGATTTCTCTGTCCCAAGAATGGAAAGAAGAATCCATAAGAGCAGTAACTATTGCAAAGCTTTGGATCTGTAATTTCCCCTTCTCCTTCACGAGGAGTTACATAGCTCAGGTGTTCCTGGCATCACAGAAGACTCCTGTCTTCTTATCCAGGCTTCCAATGCAGCAGGCAGACATGTGCACAGTGGTTGCTTTCTTTGGGCTGACTCTGCCTTTTGAATGTCTGAATACACTGAACTTGAGGATTCAAGACAGCAAACTGATAGAGAAGGAAGACGAGGAGTGTCCAGCAGAGAGAGAGAGCGACTGAAAAAGAATGACCTTGAGGCGAGGGGATGAGGAAGGAAATGTTTTTGGTTCTTAGCTTTTAGAACACTTTGGTCAGAGATGTCTCAATTGTATTCCCCTTGAAAAGAGGATCAGAGAAGCTTTCCAATTCCTCCTCCTTGCCTTTTTTAGGACAACCACAAGTTCTATACATCCTGAACTATATCATAATGATTTTGCTATGTATTTAAAAACCATATTAGCAACTGAAGTGTGCTTAGGTCATTTGCGTAAAATTTGAAAAACAAAAATTGTGAAGAATATTGGTAGCAAGGAAGACAGAAATAGAGGCTAGTTTACTAATTAAAAATTGTATCCAAATTATTATTCTAGTCTCTCCTGCCCCAATTGTATACAAATAGCTTTGAGATCTCTAGCACTGTTCAATCACCCCTTTTTAGTGATAAAAACCATCTAGATCCTGTTATATAGGATTTAAGACCTTTTCTGTATGACTTCAAATTTTTTCCCTCAAACTTACCTTCTTCTGTTTTCCTTGTTAAACCCCATATTCTTCTAATCAACCTGAAATATTTTTTCCCCATTTCAGTATCTAATTCCTATCCTTATTTTTAAGACCTTACTCAGATACCATCTTTTTCAAGAAGCCTTCCCTGATCACCGCTCTGTTTATAGTGAATTATAAATATTGCTAAGCTTTGGACCTGTAATTTCCCCCCTCCCCTCCACATAAGAGCTATCTTTCTAAAATGTTGTGTCTTTCTTCCTTCCAACCATGTTTGTTTTGATGTGTCCTACGGGCAAGTCACAGTACTAATTACTCTGAGTGAGACATAAAAGCTTGTGTGCAAAAAGTTTGTATGCTTGTATATTTATTTTATCTACCCAGGTCACCATTAGGAGTCCTAGTGTTGTCATTGTTAAATGCCATTGAGTCAGTTCTGACTCCTGGTGACCCTGTATAGGGTTTCCAAGGAATGGCTAGTGGGTTTCAACCATCAAGCTTGTGGGTAGCAGTCCATTGCTGATTCTAAGGCATCACACCAGAACTTCTAATAGTGTACTGGGTAGATAAATATGTAAGTATACACAGTTTCTACACATTGGCACATAATAGTTCCAAAATGTTTTTCAGATTAAAAAAAATAACTTGAACAATGAAGATTAAATAGTGTGAAGAGTTCGTATATACCTAGAATGATGAAATGACATTTGAATTGGGCATTAAAGAATGAGAAGAGTTTGTCAATTGGCCAGGAGGAGCGGAGAGTAGGAATTACAGTGGGGGAATGACCACAAAAATGAGA